ATCTCCTCTCCGTGTCCCCCTGCCTGGACTTGAACCATGACCGTTCTGTGGGACAGAAATGGGTTCCCTGCACTGAATCGCCTCCTTTTAGCTGTCTTCATCGAGTCTCTGCTGTGTCATCTCTCCCTGCTCTTTATTTAATAGAGTGCAGGCAGCCAAGACAGAGCTGAAACGAAGCAGCTTCACTCCTGCCTGCTGATGAGGAGCAGGAGCTGTGATTTCATCTCGGTTTTTGTGTGCTATTTCCAGCATATTGTTGCCCCTGTTCCTGCCTCTCCTGTGACGCCCGTCCCCAGAGCAGTGGGAATCGTTCCTGCTCTGGCTGGTGATGCTGGCTGGATGTCAGGCTGTTTCCAGCTCAGCTTTGCAGCCTCTCTTCTCGTGTTGGCTGGCAGACGGCAGGACTGCCCCGTGCTTATCTGGCGTGACATTTAGGTGAGTACAAGAGCTTTTTCTCTGAAGGCAGTGGTTTCTCTAATAGGCTTCTCTGTCAGGCTGGTGGCTGTCTGCATCTCTGTTTTAACCTGATCCTGGTGACAGCAAGGAGCATGTGGGTGGCTGGCAGTTGGCAGATGATACAGGGACAGTGATGTCCTGGGAGCATAGCTCCTGGTGAGGCTGTGACAGGCATCCTGGGTCTGACCTGTCCCCAGATCTGGTGATGGAAATCTGGGGTCGTGCTACTGAAGCCAGCAAAACTGAGGGCCGGCTGGATATGGCTCAAGTGAACCTGTGAGAATGCCAGGAAGAAGCGTGGTGGTCTCCTGGATCTTTGTGGTGACCCTATAATGAGGGTTTGAGCGGGTGATGTGCCGTGAGGCACAGCAGTGATCCGCTGCTCGGGCTGCAGATGTGCTGGAGGCTTTTCAGGGCAAACATGGTACAGGATCAGTTCATAGGGAGTTGTATCTGCCTTGGGCTGGGTGAGGATTAGGGGCCTCTTTCTGTTTCTAGCCCTGAGTTTCTCACTGGAGGGAGTGTGTTTATGCATAAGTGTGGCTGGGAGGTGTACAGTGATGTCTTGGGGCTGTATGTCCTCAGCCTGAGCATTAAAAATAGAAGATTTGGGAATATCTCCATGGCTTTTCATCTTCTGGGACCTTTTTACATTTCCTTCCATTTGGAGAGGTGTCTGTAGGGCCCCGTTTCACTCCGTGCTTGTGCAGGGGCGTTGCAATGCAATATTTAGGGTAGTGCATCAGCTGGAAGAGAGCCCTGATGGCTGGAGGGTGGAGATTTTGGCTCCAGCTGGGCCGTGTGTGGGCCCTCTACATCTGAGGGGACTTCAAACCCAGAGCAGCAAAACTTCTAAATCCTGGAGAGAGGCGAGACAGGAAGGAAAGCGAAAGCAGCCACACGCAGCAGCACCAAGATCTCTCTCCCCTGTCCAGCCCATCTATCACTTTAATACCTGCCAGCGTATCTCTCTTATAAATCACACATCATTGCAGGTAATAAATGCCACTAAACCGGGAGCTCTCTAAAATGAGCCTGGCGTAACCTGCGGGGTGAGGGATGGCCTCTCCTTGGAGGGAGCATCTGGGTGCTACAGCACAGGGAGCTCAGCCCTGTGCACCCTGAGGTGACTGTCCCCATCCTGGTGGGTGCTGTGGGGCTCTCCCTGCCCAGCCGCGCTCCACAGCCACTTGGCAAATACCCTGGTGGGGGGAATGTGGGTGCTGTGGTGTTTTCTGAGCTCTTATAGCAGGAGTTTGTCCTGCAAGGGTATGGGCTGGGCCCTGGAGTGGGCTCGGCACCGTGCCTGCCATCTCCTCTGATAGAAAAGCAATTACCATTCGTTTTGATTTTAATGTGGCCATTTAAGAAAAAAAAAAAGTTAATGTTTCCAATTTGTTTGGTATAATTAAGTGATAATTCCCTCTGCCTGGGAGGAGAACATGGCTGCAGCGAGGGGGTGTTTGGTCAGCACATTTTGACAGCTCCCGCTCCTACAGCGCTGGCATTGCTTTCTAGTGAGATTCGGGTGATGCTGGAGAGATGGAGACAAAGCGTCTGGGTGCGGGGTTTCCGACTGACCTTGATTTTTCTCTAAAGAGCATGGAAGGGAAGCATAACAAATTATTTGTATGCCAAGGCAGCTGAATCCAGGCAGAGCTTTGCATTACTGCTGCTAAGGGTGGTGGCTCTCCGGATCTGCTGGTTCCCTCTGTCTGGGACCACAACTGGGCTGAATTTGCAGGTCTCTGCTCTGCCTGTTGGCATGAAGGGACCTGCCCAGCATTCCACAGAAACACTCAGCCCTCTCCAAGTGCTTTGAATAGCACTCTGTGTGCTGGCATGTCAAAAAAGAATTTTTTTTTAGGCAATTTTAGACAATTATGCTTGAGCTTTGGGTAGCCTTAATGACAGCGGAGAAACTGGCACTGGCCGTGAGATTCTGCTTCTGTCACACATTTGAGTGAGGCTGATTGTGTCTCATCCCAGGACTGTACTTTATAGCTGAAGAAATTGAGGGAGAGGGCAGGAAAATGACTTCTCGGAGGTCAGGATGCAAATCTGTCACGCTCCTGGAAATAGGAGCTGGCTCTGCTTTTCTAATTTGCTGGCCCGTGCTGAATTTGGCCGTGATAATACATGAAGATTCACCTGGAAAGAAAATAAATTATTCATGAGAGTGATAGTCCAGGGCTGCTTAAACTGCCAAGGCAAAAATCCCTGAACTGATCCAGTTGCGGGCGGTGATGTGCATCAGATGACAAGGGATTGAAGGGAGGGGAGAGCAGCAGCTGGTGATCTAGTCTGTTGTTTGCCCTTTTCTCCTCAGCTGTGGGGAAGATGCAGAGCCGTGGCTTGACTTGCTGCTGCTTTTTTTATTGTTGCTTTGTGTTGCTTTGTATTGTGGCCCCCCACGGTGCTGGGGATGTGCGCATGTGCCCACTGGGTCCTGCTGCTGAAGGGCTGCAGCCCAAGGAGTATTTATGGGTTTATTAATGACATTCTTTATGCAATAAACGATGTTTAGCTGACTACTGAAATTTATTTGGGAGAATAAGTTAAAATAAACAGCCCTGCTTGGATTGATTGGTTTTCATGCCAGCTCAGACTTGTACGTGAAGTGATTTTGATGAATCTCTGTCGAGTTGTCTGAGACCCGTTCCACTGATGCTTTTCCATCACTCTCCTCTAATTCACATGCTCAGAGGAGATGTAGGAACTAACACGAATGTGGAAATTGCTCTCCCCTTCAGATGGGCCCTGCGGTCTGATCCCCAAGGCAGAGATGAGGATTTTGTGGGGATGCTGCCTTGTACCTCTCTGAGATAACAGCAGATGCTCTGGCTGTGGTCTGAGGGCCACTTCTGTCTCCCTGTTTACCCGATGAGCACAACAGGCATGAATTTATAACAGAAAGAATCTGCTACACATGTGCTACAAGCAGGATGAGTCTGGGGTACAGTAGGAACAGGCTGTGTGCCTCTGCCCTGCATGCACCCTGGGGCTTCTCTGCTTCCAGGGGGATCACGCTGTGGTCCCCAGAAAGCATCTGGATACCCACTCGGATCATCCGAAGTGACGGGTGATGAAAGGCGGCTGTAGGTGGCTGTTGCTAAGCTACATGTTCTGTCTGCCTGGGCTGTCAGAGGGCTGGGGGAGCTGAAGGGCTGTGGTCAGACCTGGGGTGTCAGTGCTGTGGCAGGGCGAGGCAGTGGGGTGGAGGTGACCAGATCCTGTTCCTGAGTCAGGGAGTTTTTCAGAGCCCACTTGTTTACTCTCTGCTCCAGATGAAACAAGCCTGAGAAGGGAGTCTGTCCCCTAAGAAACCCAGGGGCCAGACCAGTTGGTTGCTTTGTGCTTGGGTATCTTAAGTAGGAGAGGAGAATTTGGCTCTTGGCATCCCACCTCACCTCCACGCTGCTGGATTGGAAGAAAAAAATAACCCCAGGGAGATGTGCTGAGGCGCTGGCTGGGGGGTGGGTGTCGGCCAGGAGGCGGAAAAGTGGCTCCAGGAGCTTTCAAAGGATGGCACACAGGAAAGCAGAGCCAGGCAGCCCTGCCCTGCTGCCAGGGAAGCTCTTCTCAGGGGCTCAGGAGTCTGCGCATGGGGAGAAGAGGGACGGACGCTGCCCCAGACCAGCGCAGGGCTCAGCCAGCAGTATCCTGCCTTGGGGGGTTTTTGGCAACTGCTCGCTCTACCCTACAGCCCTGTCTCCAAATGTTTGTGCAGGCAGAATGTGCTGGGAGAGGCTGCTGTGCCAGCGAGGGTAAAGATAAATCTTACTTTAAGGGCAGTTGTCACACAGCCTCAGTTACACAATGGAGGCAGAGATGCTCAGTGCAAAATGCATCTTATTCCACGCTGGGCATGTGAACAAGCCACTGCCGCTGTTCCTTTCTGTTTGCCCTCTCTCTGTCCTCCTGCACTAATTAATCTCGTCCGCATGCTTAACAGCCGTTCTGAGAGGAGATGAGAAAAAAAAAAACCCAAACCAAACCGTGGGTTTCCAGTGAGAGCTTGTGCCTCTCCTCCCTGGGCTGCTCTCTGGCTCCCTTACAGCTCCAGCACAGCCCGTGGGTCCGGACTGGAGGGGCAAGCACAGGCTCTTGCCTTTCCCAGCTGAGGGCTCCGGGAGTGGGTCCTTGCCCAGGGGTCTGCAGGAGGATGTACACAGGGATCGGGAGGAGTAATCAGGTCAGAGAAGGAGGACACAAGGAAAAGTTCCCCAGCAGGCAGGAAAACAGCCGGGGAAGTGAGCAGACGGCTTGCAGCCTCCTCAGTTTGAATGTCGCCTGGGGGCGGGGATGCTCAGGAAACAGGATAACAAACTGACTCCAACATCTCTTGACTTTTTTTTTTTTTTTCCCCCTTTTTTTTGTTT